TCGATACTAATTTATTTCATGTCTATCGCATGAATAGAGACTTCAGCAGAATGAAGTGCGAGAGAGGTGGAGGCGTCATCATGGCTGTCCGCCGTACCTTCTCCAGCTGCGCAGCTGTGCTTTCAAACGAGGACTCTCTTCTGGACCAGTTGGCTGTTAATGTATCTGGATTGTCTGGGAAGACTGTAATAGTTGCTTCTTATATTCCCTCTGGAAGTGAGTTTACGCTTTATCAGGCGCATATGAATAACATTGCCAGCCTACATGCCAGCATAGATGACTCTGTTGGTCTTGTTGTGACAGGAGATTTTAATTTGGGATCTGTTGTATGGTCATGTGATCCGCAATCCCTTGCTATGGTGCCTGGCAATGTACACCAGCCACATGAAATAATTGTTATCGATGATTGTTATAGTATGGGCCTCACCCAGATAAATTATATCTTTAATGATTTGCATAGGCTACTAGATTTAATATTCATCAATTCTATTGTTCATTCCTCGGTAAGCCTTGCTGAATTTAGTATTTCTAGTTGTGATGTTTATCATAAGCCCTAATGCTGTAATACTGAATTTTATAATTTCTTACTAGTTGTTAACTTTATTCCTATGTATAATTTTGATCATGCCAGCTTGGTTGCCGTAAGTGATTGCCTCACGTCTATGGATTGGGTTTCCTTGCTATCAAATGCTTGCATTGAGACCAATTACAATAAATTTCTTGTCGCTTAAAAAAATATTCTTGACAGCACTTGTTCAACCAAGGTACGGGGTTCCTATAGGCTTCCTTGGTATACAAAAGGTCTCCAGAAATATAAAAATCTAAAATAAGTTCTACAAAGGGTTCATTAGATGGGGTAATCCATTGGATCGTGATAGATATAGACAATATAAGCGGGAATTTGAGTTTCTTAATAAATTTCTATATAATCAATAATATAGTCAAATCCAAATGTGTTCTGGCGTTTTATTCATTCAAAGAAATCTTACTCTTCCATACCGTCAACTGTGTCATATAACAATACTACCGCTAATTCTGGGACAATTATTGCAAACTTATTTGCTTCCTTTTTTTCGGCCAATTTTGAGCCTGCTTGTGAATGGAATGACCAGCAAATTCTTTGTAATATTGGTTCCCTTGAAATTAATGATGATGACATTTCTGAAGCAATTCACAATTTGACGACTCCATTAAGCCTGACATTGATGGAGTATCTTCATTTTTTCTTAAAAAATTTTATCATAGTCTTCTTCAACCCCTTAAGATGATCTTCTCGTCTTCGCTACTTCAGGGTAAATATATTTCTAGATGGAAAATTGCCAAAATTTTACCGATTCATAAAGGAAAGCAAGTCTGAGGTTTCTAATTACAGGCCGATTGCCAAAATAAGCAATATTGCCAAGCTATTCGAGAGAATTGTAGTTAAAAAATTATCCTTCCTGATACGTACTTATATTGACCCTAATCAGCACGGGTTCATGCCTGGTCGTTCTACTACCTCGAATTTAGCTATTTTCGCGTAACATTGCATACAAGCCTTTGAGTTACATTCCCAAGTGGACACAGTTTATACTGATTTCGCCAAGGCTTTTGATAAGGTTTCTCACTCTGCCTTGCAAGCAAAACTTTTTAAGCTTGGTATTCACGGCTCTTTTCTCTTGGAGCTCTTCTTATTTGGCAAACCGATCCTATCATGTTGAAGTCAGCGGGTTTGTTTCTAACCTCTTTGAAGCAAGCTCTGGTCTTCCTCAAGGCAGTTCTCTTGGTCGTTTGCTTTTCATTATTTTCATTAATGATATTTGTTTCTACATTTAATCTGCCAAGTATCTTCTTTATGCGGATGACCTTAAAATATACATGCCAGTGAATGACAGTTAATTGCTACAATCGGACTTGAACAAAATCAGTTTATGGTGTATTCAGAACTATTTACCTCTCAACCTAAATAAATGTTATGTTGTTCGCTATAGTAAATTTATCTTAAATATTCTTTCTACATATGTTATCAATAACCATTCACTCTCTGCACTTACTGAGATTATGGATCTTGAGGTCCTCTTCGACAGTAAATTTTTGTTTATTAACCATATGAACCATTTTCTGCGGAAGGCATATGCAATGTTCGGATTTGTCAAAAGAAACACCATACTTTTTAAGGACCCATACTCACAACTGACAGTGTTCTCAGCATTTGTGCGTTCAAGAGTGGAATGTGCTTCCTTTATTTGGAACCCGTCAAGTGTTGTTCTTATCAATAGAATTGAGAGGCTGCAGAAATAGTACATAAAATTTGCACTTCAGCCGTTAAACTTTTCGGAACCTTTGCCAGCTTACTCTAGCCAATGTTACCTATTGCAATCTTGAAGATCGCCGTTCAATAGTGAGCTTGCTCTATATTAATGATGTTATAATTGGTAATATAGATAGTTCATTAATATTAAGCTCAATTAAATTCAATATCCCTGCCAGGAGTCTCCGTACCATCATCCCATTTTTTGAAAGTGCTGCGCGGACTAACTATGCGCGTAATGAGCCACTCTTAAGAACTTTAAGACTTTTTAACTCTTTGCCACTAAGTATTCGATTGGTTTGGGGATCCAAGAAAGATGTCCTTAGGCAATTACTTAGTGAATATTTTTTAATTAATACTTAGTTTTAAGTTAAGTTAGCTGATAGCCAGATAAGGATTTATCCATTGGCGAATAAATAAATAAATAAATAAATTATGTGCGATGGCTATGATGTTTATCGTGCTGATCGTGCTAGTCATGCTGGTGGTGTCGCGATCTATGTTAATAGCCAACTTAAATGTAAAATAAAGTCGAAACATTCAAATGATAGTCCAATAGAATTTTTACTAATGGAAATATCTGGCATATGTAGTACGAAATCACTGATCGGCTGTATCTTTCGACCGAACAGTACAACACCATACGAATTCGTCCTTTATTCCATTGCGGATTTATCAGCTTTTTATGTTGAAATTATCCTAGAAGGTTACTTCAATAGCTACCTCTTAAAGGAAAATAATCTACTTGATGAATTTGAGTCTATAAGACTTTTTCCTGTAAACGTAACGATACCCACTCATATTAGCAATACTTGTGATACCTTCTTGACCTGTTCCTCAAACAAGATTTTACTTTATGACCAGGTCTCAGCACCGGCTTTCTTATATTTACTAAATTTTACCTTAAATAAGACTCTACAACTCATTCTTTTAAATATAGGGACAATACAAATATTGACTATCGAGCTCTGGAACTAGAATTAGATGTATGTGACTGGTCTGCTATTTATCATAATAACAATGTTGATTGTCAATTTAATGTATTGAATAGTAACAAAAAGTACCTATTTAAGAAGTTTGTGCCATTAAAAACTAAAGTCACAAGGCCAAGGATTAACCCTTGGTTTTATCATGTTATTAAAAACCTTATTTATCAGCGCGATACCGCTTACTCTAAATGGAAGCGATACCGTACTGCCGATTTTCATAAACAGTTCTAGATGGCTAGAGAAACGGTAACCTAGATTTACGCTCAGCTAAAAGGGATGATTATAAAAACAAATTTAACAACTGTCCCTCCATGAAACATAAATGGAGAGAATTGAAAAGCTTAGTTAAAGCTACACTAAAACTGATCAAACTGTAAATGTTGAAGAACCTGAATGCTTGTGTTCTTAAAGTAAAGTCCAGAGCTGAAGGTTTAGACAATATTAACCTAAAGTTTTTAAAAATATTACTACCTGCCATATCTGACATTGTAGAGGACATTAGCCAGCAAATCGACCAAAATTACGTTACTCTCCTGACTCTTCTTGATCATAGCAAGGCCTTCGATTCTGTGAATCACAATATTCTTAGTATTAAGCTAACAAATCTTTTCAATTTTTCAAGCACTGCAGTCAGGTTGATTAGGTCCTATTTGTCCAACAGATTTCAAGCCGTATCCGCGGGAAATAATATTTCCAATTATAAGCATGACTAATATAGTTATTGACCTTAATTTAAACTCATGGACTAGATATAATTCAATAAATTACTTCTATAAGACCAGCCACATAACAATGTATCTAAGCAGCAAGCTCATTCCTGCAATATCTCAACGAACTAATAACTATATATTCCCTCGCAGTCGATATCTCTGCTCGGAGAGGCAGTTCTACGTCAATGCAATCCGATTATGGAACAGTCTACCACACGAACTTAAAACAATTAGGAGCGCAACTCTTTTTAAAAATAAAGTAAAAGAAATTTACAAATAATAAATATTATAAGTAAAAATAAACATATACATTAATGTATTATAAAATTCTTTCAAATATGATAGTTTATAGGTGTTAGGCTTAGGTCAATAATGTTTATATTTAATTTTTTCATAATATAATGACCAGTGCCTTAACAATAAGTATAAGCTTGTAGCATAGGGCTAAATATTGAATAAAATTTAAATTAAATTAAATAATGTAACTGCCGTTGGAACGATCGACAACATAAGAATCGAATTATATTCGGTTATTTTGCTGAATTTACTGCTTTTTTTGTTTGAAGTTAATTTGATTGTTTGGGTAGAAGAAGAAGATTTAGAAGTGCCATTATAAATAAGACCGTGGTAAGACCAAATGCATGACTTGACCTAACCCGTGGACGGCCTAAGGAAAGCGTACTGATAAAACAAGCAAAAACTTAGGGAACGGCTTTTTTATAGAAAATATATTAATATCTTATAAATTGAATAATGAAGATTATTTACTCCATAAGATGTGAAAACATCTTTGACTGCTTTGTTTTGCCTTGCTTTAAATAAAACGTTAGCAAACATTTTCTTTTCAAAAAAATTATCATTAGGAAAAAAAACTTCTTTGGGGATTCCATATTAAGTACCGTGACTTCGAAATTAAACAAGAAATATTAAATACTTTGAATATTTTAACATTAGCACATGAATAAAAAGCTATAAAAATATTCAATAAATTTTACACTTTTATTTCCACAGGTGTGGGATCAAACACAAAGGTTGATGATGTCTTGCGCTCCATAGATAAGTCCTACTGCGATACGGTTTTAAATTTTTTGGTGCGTTTAGCATGCCAGGTTAATGATCCACAAGCTACAATAATTTCGCCAGGGGAAAGTTTATCTCGAAGGTAACATAAATATTTGTAACGTTAATTCATTTTTATTAAACACTGTAAAAATATCCTAATTTTAATAAGTTTTAACATTGTTAAATGTGTCCAAATTTTGTGTATTTCCTCCTGCGTACGTCAACTTCATAATGAGTTATCATGTGAACAGCCGCTCAATGTTTTTGCAACATCACCCGGAAAACGCAAAAAAAGTGCATGCTATAGACAATGTTGCAGAACTGTTGCTATCTAATTAGTTCTATAAATTAAATCATTTTACCCTAGCAGAAGGTATTATAATTTCAATCAGAAGTTTGCAAGACATATCCGACCCTAAAAAGTATATATATTCTTGATCAGCATCACTAGGAGGGTCGATCAGCTTAAAAGCTATCTGCATGAAACTTTCCCAAAAGTTGTCCTTCTATTGCAGGTAGTATATAAGTCGGAACGAGCCGGATCGGCCGACTATAGCATATAGCTCCCATAGGATCAATCGGAAAAATAAATTAAGAAAAACAAGAAAGAAAGCAAACTTCGGCAAGCCGAAGTTCATATACCTTTGCAGCTATTACAAGAATTAAATACTTCTGAAAACAATAAAATTATGATTTACTTGCGTATATGTCTAAAAACATTGCAGCTATGATGATTTGCAGCTCAATTATTAGATAGTTATTTTATATATTTTTTATTTATATATTACTATATTATGATATAGTCGTCCGATTTTGATGAAATTTAAACCGTAATTCTGAAATATTTAACCATTACTATATGTTTGTCCAGTAATTTGTTTATGTCAAAATGTATGTCTTTATCGTCTGTAAATAATTTGTTGCTCCTAGTGCTGTCTTTTATGAATTTGTGTATTATTTTTTTCTTCCTACATTTTAGAAGAAATGTAATGTTTGTATTTAACTTAGTTAATTTGGTTGACGTCAGTTGAAAATCCTTAATCGTTGGTCTTGCTTTGTATTAGTTACGTTTAATTTCCGCACATCCCATTTTGGAGTGTCATGCTATCGGCGTGCCTTCCGTTATTTTATTTATTCAATATATTTAAAAAATTTAATATTAAATTTTTGTAATAGCTGCAAGGGTATATGAACTTCGGCTTGCCGAAGTTTGCTTCCTTTCTTGTTTAATATGTCAATTATGTATTTGCATAGTGCATAGGACGGTGATCCGATGGAAGAGCTGATTGGTCGTAGAGGGGTTCCTTTTTTATGAATTTGGGTAGTCCATATATTCGTGGTGGTAAAGCTGTGGTGGTCAACTTTATTCTTTCGATCCTTGAGATAAGTTCCATGTTTAATAGTTTGTCCACTATTTCGTTATATTTTGTTTGTAGTCTAGACGTGGAGTCTTTCCTTAATGTCCTGTATGTGTTCATATCCTTTAATATGTCCTTCATTTTTTGGTTGTAGTCATCTTTGTTCATAGCTACCGTCTTGTTACCTTTGTCTGAGGTCAATATTAAAATGTCGTAATTTTCTTTAAGAAATCTCTTTGTTTGTCCCACTGTGTCTAGTATTGCACGATCAAATGCACTTTCTTTGTTTGATCTTTTGTGGTCTTGGGTTCGCGCCTCTTCTTGTTTCTCTTTGTCAATAATGGTTTTGAGGATTGCCTCTTCGTCCGCAATGAATTTTAAGACAGGGAATTTCTTCTTCTCTATTAGGAGAGCGAACTTGGACCCTTCGCCAATAGTGATTTTATTGCTGGCGGGAACTCGGTGTCGCATGGTTAACAGTATGGAATGCTTCGCTAGATTCGATAAGTGTTGAGAGTTTAGCCAGGCTGTTATCGAGTTTTTCCTGATATCGTCTGAAATCTTTATTATGGCTGTTGTGCAGCTTGTGAAGGGGCGAAGACTAGATGGTAGATTGTACATTAAATTGTTTTGCTGGATAAAATGTTTTGTCTGGGATGCCAATATTTCCTCAAAGGCTTTAGAGAGGTATGCAGGAATAGCTTTAGGACTATATTCACTCATTTCCTTAGGTGTTGGAATAGTTCAGGGAATGTTGAAAATGTTATTGCAGATATAAATATATGTGTTATTAGTGGTAATATCTGAGGCAGTAGAATTTTAACAAATTTTGGATTGATATCGTCCAAGCCTGTGGCGTTAGATTTCACTTTTAAAATTGCGTCAAGGACATCACATACATAAGGCTAAACTTATTATCACAGTTGGCCAAAGTAGTCATGTTCAGGTACAAGTTAGAGACTGATTCAGATACTGGGGCATTAACGAAGATATTATTGAGGCTGTCAACATCAATGTGTGGTTGATGGGTGATAGGTTTCCTCCCTATTTCTAGATTTTTCAAAAGTGGCCAAGTTTGCATGATATTAACAGCATCGTCGAATTTCGACTTTAAATGTATTTTTTTTAGCGTGAGTTATTGACGTATGAACTTTCGTGCGTAACTTCCTGAATCTCTTCCAATTCTTGTATGCCACATTTTTCATCTTTATAATATTATTAATTCTATCGTCAAACCAGGATTGCTGGTTGGGTAGGAAAGACTTTAGACGTAAGGGAACAAAACTATTAAAAATTTGGAAAACTTTGGATTGGAATTTGTCAAGCTGAAAGTCGACCATGGACATGGAGTAGATTGATTTCCAATCATACGAATAAAACGCAGTTGACAGATTAGTAATATCTATGTTTTTTAATGTCCCTACAAACTATGGAAAGGTCATTATAATACTGAATGTCAAGACTGTAGGTTAGAAATATGAGGTCATGTTTTGAGAATATCGGATCTGAGATTTGGTCATATAAAAGGATTTTGGAGTTGTCATTAACAAAAAATACGTCCAATGCGTCGCGTGTCTTGAGTTAACTAATTGTAGTCCTAGTGCTGCCACGATATCCGAGAGGTGATGCTCGATTATATTAGGGTATTGAAGACTTAAATTTGCCAACAGATCAATTTCCTCAGAGTAGGGAACAGTTCTATTTGGTCTGTACAGATAGCCAATTAAGATTTTTGATGCAGTTTCAGCACTTGTAATTTAAAGGAATATGTACTCGAAAGCGCTGCTATCCTGTTGTCTACAATTAAACTTTGTGTTCAGTCTTTTATAAAAAATGAATTGCAACTCCCCCCTCCGTGGCTATCACGATCAGATTTAAATAAATTATATCCACTACACTAAACAATATTATTATTATTAATATCGGGGTGTCCAGTGTACCGCGACCTATAAGATCTATTGTACCCCCATTCAGAGCCTACAGCTCAGATATCAACCCACTTCCTCGAATAAAGTCGAGGAGTTTTAGTGGGTTGATTCTTACTAGGAGCTCAGGTGTAAGAGTTCTGGTTCCTAAGATTTTACATCTTATGCTTGCTAACGCCGGACAGTCTGCAATGATGTGTCTAGAGGTTTCGTCCTCTTTGTCGCAGAATCTGCAAGTTCCACTGCTGGTTATTCCCATCTTACCTAGGTGACTTTTCAGTCTACAGTGCCCGGTTAGTAATCCGGTAACGATCCTAAGTGAGTTTTTCCCCAGTTGAATAAGTTCCTTGAACCTCTTCTTGTTATAGTTATTTATTTGAGTTTTGGCTTGCCTAAGACCTGGGGTATTTCTCCAGTGTTCTTGTCTCATGGCGCTTTCCGCTTTCCTAAGGTATTCTTTTATAGTGTGCCTCCCTATGCCACAGTAGGGCTCTGGGCCTACCAGGGGCTGTTCGGCTCCTAGTTTTGCCATTTTATCGGCAAGTTCATTTCCGGATATGTCCTTATGTCCCGGAATCCATCTGAGGGCCAGCCTGTTTCGACTGCCCAGTATATTTAGCTTACTCTTCACCTCTAGGACTAGCTTCGAGGTGATTTTGTTGCTATGTAAAGCAGTAATTGCTGCTCGGCTGTCCGAAAGGATCGATATGTCCTTTTCTTGTATCCACGCTGTATGTTGAGCTCTGCACAACGTCCAATGGCACATACCTCAGCCTGGAATATGCTGGTGTATTGGCCAAGGGATTCGTGGTATTTTATGCGAGGCCCTACCACTCCAAGGCCCGTGCCTTGTTGTGTCAGGGATCCATCTGTGTACCATGCAATGGTGTGTTTAGCCATCGGATGCACTTCAGACAGTGTGGTCCAATCTTTCTTATTGCCTAGGTGTGCTGTGAAGTTCTGCTCGAAGATTAGTTCGGCTGTCATTTCATCCCTAGGGTGGAGTATTAGGGGCACCTCACCTAACAAATTAGTCGCATCCCTGTTATTTAGAATGCAACCACTACCTGTGCCCTCAGTGCTTATTCTCAGGAGTGTAGCTTTGCGTTGGATATCAATCACATAGTGGAGTGGTGTTAGCTCCATCAAAACTTCTAAGGCAGCTGTAGGACAGGTTCTCATTGCCCCTGTCATGCATACGCAGGCAAGTCTTTGTAGTTTTCCTAGCTGGTTTTGCATGCTGATGAGCTTAGCTCGTTTGCCCCATGCAAGTGCTCCGTAAGTGAGGATTGGTCTCACGATCATTAAGTATAGCCATCGTATTATCTGAGGCCTGGTTCCCCAGGATTTCCCAGCAATTTTCCGACAGGTATAGAGTGCTCTGTAACACTTTTCCAATGTCTTTTGGACATGGGAAGCGAAAGTCAGTTTACTATCTAAAGTGATTCCTAGATATTTAACCTCTCGGCTAGTTTCTATAGGAGTTCCTAGCAGTGAGATTTGTCTCATTCTCTGTAGTTTGTACTTCCTTGTGAAAGGAACGATGACTGTCTTAGCAGGATTTAAGTTGAGTCCAACCTCCCTGCACCAGTCTAGCGTTGTCCTTAGTCCGAGTTGGACAATGTCGCAGAGTGTCGCTTCAAATTTGCCTCTGGCGATTATCACGATGTCATCGGCGTATCCTTGACATTGAATTCCTTTTCCAGCAAGTTTGCTGAGAAGGTCATCTACTAGCAGGCTCCATAGCAGAGGGGACAGTACTCCTCCTTGCGGGCAGCCTTTGCTGGTAGCGATTGTTACTCTTTCCGAACCCAGTG